CAGTAGTATAGTACAGGGTCAACGACGAATGGTTAGGAAAAGAAAAGAAAAGAAAAGAAAAGAAACCCCCCTCCAAGCTGTAACAAATACCACAAGTGAGTATTGGGATTAGAGGATTGGATTAGGGTCAAGGGCAATACCTTGACAGCACTTGATCTAGGCACTGTGTTGGGCACTATCTCTAATGACACCCGCACCATCAATCTTAAAGATAAGGATAGGAACAGGTACCTGAGATCTCATAGATGTCCCAAACAATCCCAAGGCTGTTGGATGCAGTGTGCAAGTCCCAAAGAGCACAATTTGGATGGGCCAACATGGTGTCAGCCCAATGCCACAGTACTAATAAGAGGTAGCAGATTGCTACAGACAGAATGAGATGGAGAGGGCATGCTGATGCAGTGCATAAAATGAGAGGCCCAAGAGAGAATGAGAGAATATACAAATGAAATGAAACATGCAAAAGCCCATGCATATAGGGATAGACCTTGTCTGCAGTCTTATGATGCAGCAGCTGGAGAATATGGACATGCATTTTAGAGGACCACTTGCCATGAGCAAAAATGTGCTTTACCAGCTAAGAAATGTACATGTTGGACTGTATCACCATCCTACTAGGATCAACACTCACTTCACGAATGTGGGCACTGCGCTGTAAGCTGATCTGGATCAAGACATACTGAGCGCGGCAGCCTGAGGTCGTCGTAGTCAACTCACAACTCTTTGACATTGACGAAGAATTCCCGGTATAGTATGTTTAAGTCTGCATATCGACCACGGAAATGAGAAGGTGATACATAGAAATATCGAAGATGATAAACAAATCTAATTCTGCATTATAAAAAGAATGATAAGCCGATGTCGAAATGGTCAAAGTCGAGCGCGATCAGTGCCGACCTATTCTTCCTTCGTCAAGCAATGTAACTCATCTTCAGCAATACAATCAATCCTGCCATTCTTCAAGTGTCTGACAAGTGCGTCTCGACGACTGAAACCACGCATGCAACCTCCAACCCTCATCTCGCCACGAAACATGCTTCTCGATGTGTAATTGTCAATGCGCAATCCGTACCGATCCGCCTCTGCGAGGGAAACGCCGCAGCAGACCCAACGCGCATAGCTTGTTCCCGCGCGGTGCGTCTCCATATGCCGCCGCAAGTCCGGCAAGCGTCGTCTTCGCTGCACATATGCGCATCCTGGGACAGGGCACGCGCTCGTCCCGCTTGCAACGAGCTGTGCAAGTGCCCAGGCGAAGTCGCCCTCCTCAAGTTGTGTCTGGGTATTGCGTGCGCGCGGGACGCGAATTATATCGGAGGTCGGATGTGCGCTGGGTGAAGCGGAGGATAATGAAGGGGATGGGGAGAGAGGCCCGGAAGCAGAGACGGTTGCGATAGAAGACGTGGATGTAGAACCAGAAGAGAAGCGGGAGCTGCGAGACGTGCGCCGAGAGCGTGCGGGCGGGGAGGTGCGAGCATAAGGTCGATAGCGATGTCTTCCCGTCGGACGGCGACCTGGAATAAACTCGTCGTCGTCGTCGCCGTCTTCTGCAGCAGTATCCGTATCAGCCTCCTTTTCCTCGTAGTATGTATGCAGATTTGCAGCAGCTCGAAAGGGGCCGATACGAGGACTGTAGCCAGAAGACGTTGAGTATGTGTTGTGCGAAGATGCGCGAGGGCAGGGCTCCTCAGGAACATACGGCTCATCGTCCATGTATATCGTGCTTCTAGGAGTTTAAATGAGATGTTGGTTTAGTAGTAGTATGGGGTGAGAAAGCCGACTTACAATTTAGAAGAGGACGATTCCCAGGCACAGTGACCGTCTGTTTCCCATGCACGCTGCACCGTTTCCCCTTCGTCCGAGTCAGAAGCCGAATCAGAGTTTGTACCCGACTCGTACTCCTGACCAGCGACGCTCGATTGTGCTCTCGATGTAGACCTTGAAGCTGCTCCCAAGACACCAATATGGTATGGTTGATGTTGAGGTCGAGCTTGAGGTCGAGCTTGAGATCGGAGTCGTGTATCTCGTTCGGATTCTGATCCAGAATTCGAGTCAGAATCCGAGTCAGAGTCGGACGTAGCATATGATTCCGTCTCTGTGTGATATGTAGTGGAGATGTAGGAAGATGCACGAGACGGCCGGGTTCCTCCTTCATACCGCTGAACGAGGGAAGAGGCCTGGTTGCGAACAAAGTCTTCCCCCATAGCAAGCGCATAGCCGTCGACCAGGGCAGCAGAAACCATGGTGGAGGATAAGTAGAGGACGTACAGAGGACGTGAACTTGAACGACATGAGTGGCGACAGTGATTATAACCGAGGAGAGAACAAAGCAAACACAGGCTCAAGCGCGTTGTAAGGTGCACGCCACACACGCCGAGTCTTGTGTGAGATCGGGTACGATAAATCAGCGATCGACTGCCATATAGAGGAGATACTCGCCACTCGCGCCACCAAAAGGCCGTACTGGACCTACGCTTTGACCGTCGCCTATTCTCTCTCGTCGGGCTTCCTTTGTCTTTAAACTGATCGCCTAGACCTCATGTAGCTCGGGTACAGTCTCCCGGGCTGCGCTATGATCTCTACAATACCTCCTGCCTGTCCTACTCGACTGCACGTACGCACGGTAATATACGAGTCCCCTGACACCCAATTTAGCATTCAATGATGTGTGGATTGAACTTGAAAAGCTGAATTACTTACCTTCGACAGACACGTCGACTGATTCCCCGAATTCCACTCAGTACGTTTATGTGATCGGTGGCGAGGGGCCACTAATTTGCTCGCTACGGCCTGCCTGACCACTCATCAGGATGGGGGAAATTGTCAGGACTCTCGCCACTTACTCGAGCGGCTGACAGGTGCGCGGGATACCTGCTTTTCCCGCCCGACACTTCTAGAAGCCAGTAGCATCGGTGTAAAGGGAGATATATGACCGTGTCATAATAGAACAATACTTTTGGATATAACGCTGACTACGATCTCTCTGCGCCCACCCTGTATGATGCGAAACCGTCAGTCAGTGCGGATTATGACTCCGAGTGTCGAGATGCTGTGACCCATTGTCTCGAACATGCCGAAAATGAAAGGCCCGAAAGACAGAGACAGAGACGCCCGATGTGCGGCAAAGTCCGACGTGCGATGCGCGATGCTTTCATTGAGCGCGCAAGTCCGTCTGACCACCCGCGTGCAATGCCACCCTTCGCATCGAACCCGCTCAAAAGTAATCCCATCCATCGCACACTCCACAAGCACCCTTCACTCTTTGGTATCCCTTTCCTCGTTATCATCGTCGGCGCATCATTTGCGCTCCAAAGCTTCACACAGACGCGTTATGACTTGCACGACCAGAAGGTCACCCAGGTCCGTGCGCTTGTACATTATATCTGTCTGAAGAATGCCTCACTTAGTGTGTGCATGAATCATTTTTGCGGTAGGTGAACAAGGAACAGGAGCTTGGGTTAGCGAAGAACCGTAAGAAGTTTGACATTCGTGAGGAGTATTTCGTGCGTGTCCCGCGACTTGCATGTCTATGCTAGATGCTATTCACAATACCATGCGCCATACAGAAACTGAGTGCGGCGCCAGACGAAGATTGGGAGCCAAAGCGGATCGAGCGACCTAAAGGCCTACCCGAGTGGGGTGTGGCTCCACCAGAGCCGCCAGCAAGATCTGCAAAGCCTTGACATCCAGTCCGTTTATTTATCTGTGTCTTGCTACTTCTACATTGGCGTCTTCAATACGATTCAGGTTTCACGCGTAGATCACACCTATGTACATGCTGCTGTCTCACATTCTGCCACCATAAGACTAATACAACACTTTGCTCAATCTCTGTACCGAATTCAACAAAGCATCTCCTTGTCGGATCACCGTCTCATACTGCTGGTTCTTGAGTGGTGGCCGAGTCGTTTCAACAACCCCGTTCACCTTATCAATAGTACAGTGGAGGCGGCCCGACGCTATGAATCGCGACAATTCGCTGAGAGCAGAAAATGTAATGAGGAAGTCGGGACCAGCCGAAAGAGGAAGGACACGTACTTGTCAACAAAGTCTACGCTAACGCCAAACGAGCGGGCGAGACTGTCGAGCGTAAGACTGCGGTAAGATTCGAGGAGCTGATTGTATGCTAAGATGCGCATCTCGCGAACATAGAAGCGCGTGTGTGGCGAAAGAATGCGAGAAGGAATTAAATGTGTTTGTTCCAGAGTCGCTATACAGGAAGAATCAGCAACCACGGATAGAGAGCAGAATGGGGCACAAACCAAGAGCAAGGAAAAATTTATCGTAGTGTGAATCGTACAAGTTCTTCATGAGGTCTGCCAGGGTTGGCAACTCAGGAAGAACTTGCGTAACTTCGGGTGCTCCAAGAAGCTGTAAAACCCATTGTCAAACATTGTAGCGGCCCATAGACAAGAAGTGACTTACCTTCTTCTTGAGATCTACTCGTGTTAGCGTCAACGCGTTCGCGATGATTGTATATGCAACAAAATCGTTGTATGGAACTAACTCCGTCGCCGTGAACGTGGACAGGGCATCGAGCAATAGTTCGCCGCCACGCTTAAACTGTCGTGTAGACAGGAAATGCAGACCGCGGTACACTTTGAGGCGATTTCGTCTGTCCCAATCTCCACCTTTCTCGACAAGCCTGGAGGTGTCAATAGATATAATGCAAACGGACACACAAACGGCATACGCACTCCTCCGCCTCCCCAAGATGCTTCTTAATCATGTCAAAGTCGCCGAAGAAAAATCCAATCCGGACAAGCGTGAGCACGATGTCTATTCGCGAGCCCATCCCTGCCGTCTTCTCCAGCGCAAGTTTCTGTGCCTCGATCGCTTTGTCCTAGTCCCCGTCAGTCCACGCGAAACACAACCAAAGAAATGGGATGCGCACACCTTGTCACCAATCTTAGTGAGGTAATTTGCGCGGGCCTGCAACGCGTCGGCGATATCAGATTCGCCCTCGGTTTTCTTGGCCTCTTCGAGACGGTGCTCAAGCTTCTCAAGCTCGTCTTTGTTTGCTGCTTCCAATGAATCCAGGAGTGATTGATCGAGCGGGAGCGCACCAGCCCCTGTGACTATGCGGTAGTAAGGAGCCATTTCTATGGACATGTGCAGAAAGAGGAGAGAACAATTAATATATGCAGACAAAGCGAACGCTGGGGACATACGATCGGCCTGGATGCCTGCAGCGAGCTCTTTACGTGCATCCTCTTGTAGATGGGAGAGGGACGGTTTAGAGAGGATAAAGACGTTTTGAGGGAGGGCGAGATTGGGAATGGGGAGGACAACGTCGTCGGGCATGGCGGATGCGGAGGAGGTCGATGGATAACTACAGTTACACCGACAGGTCACGGTCGACGCGTCAGTCAATTCGCACGCCCCGCGACGCGTCACCCAAGCCATCCAAGCTGAGTCGCGCCGCCCATCGGACTTGTATCCACTGCTCTCCGCCTCACTTCTCTCCATCTCTCGTGCATATATTCAGACTGCTTGTATGTCTTCCAGGCAACAGCTGCTCCAGCAGGCGAAGACAGAAAGTCCTGAACAGGCGGAAGCACTTTATAAAGAAATCATCTGTGCGTGTGCAGTGCAGCTTTGCAAGTAGTATTCTGACATGACCGGCACTGTTTCAGCGTCGCCTGTTAATCAATATGCGGTTGTAGAGGAACGTGAGCGTGAGCTACGCTATCAGGAGACCGCCCTCGTGAAGCTTGCGGAATTGTATAGGGATCAGAAGTGAGTGCGCATACAAACGACGGTGCAACATTCATTCACCTATGACTTTGCCTCAAGGAACGCAAAGGGTGTCGCCGAGGTTGTAAACTTCTCTCGTACCTTTGTCTCGTCAACCGCCAAGGCGAAGACCGCTAAGCTCAGTATGCACACTTTGACTATACCTTCGTGGCGAGTTTCTCATACTTCAGTACAGTAAGGACAGTTCTGGATTGTTTTGTTCCTATCCCGGATAGCCAGCAAATCCAGATAGAAGTTCTCACAGAGAACATCGAATGGGCTAAGCGAGAGAAACGGATCTTTTTGAAGCACAGTCTAGAGACACGACTCGTTGGGCTGTGAGTGGCCTGGATTCAAAGTATAGTATAGACTGAGTAACGGCTGGATTGCATTGAAATAGCCAATTGGAGACATCCCAATATAAGCCTGCACTTGCGCTTATAGATACTCTACTCACCGAGTTGAAGCGTCTAGACGACAAGATGATTTTGACGGAAGTGCACCTATTAGAGAGTAGAGTTTATCGTGGTGTCGGCAATATTTCGAAAGCTAAGGTGTGTTATGTTTCGCCCTGTGTAGCGCACACCAGGCTGACAGTCTAGTAGGCGGCGCTCACCTCAGCGCGGACGGCCGCGAACTCCATCTACTGTCCACCACACCTTCAAGCGCGACTTGATATGCAAGCAGGCGTTCTACATGCGGAAGAAAAGGACTACACAACTGCATATTCGTACTTCTTTGAGACGTTCGAGAACATGAGCACGCAGGACGACCCAGGAGCGCTCGGTGCTCTCAAGTACATGTTGCTTTGCAAAGTGATGTTGAACCTGGTGAGCTGTGGTTGGCCTGTATATTTTAATATTCTGTTGAAATTCTCTCGACCTTTAGCCAGAGGATGTGACGTCTCTTCTTTCAATCAAGCTCGCCTCGAAGTATGCTCAACTACGAGATGTGGAAAGTATGCGAGCAATCGCACGGGCACATCAGAAGCGAAACTTGGCCGACTTTGAGAAGGCGCTCAAGGATTATCAACAAGGTAACGATTGCTCTTCAATGGGCATACTCGATGTCAACTGATGTATTACGCGCTCCCAGAATTATCATCTGATCCAACCATTCGCACACACCTATCGGCGCTGTATGATACGCTGCTGGAACAAAATCTACTCCGAATCGTCGAACCGTATTCAGTCGTCGAGGTCGAATACGTCGCACAACAAGTGGGGCAGGGGCGCCAAGCAGTAGAGCTCAAGTACGTTTTCATTCAACTTGTACTCCTGAAGATGCCGACATCATATATTGCAGGCTATCACAAATGATTCTTGATAAAGTGTTCCACGGTGTGTTGGACCAAGGGCGAGGCTGCTTAATTGTCTTTGAGCAGCCTGAGGCTGATGTAAGGCTGCGTGCGTTCGAGGGTGTAGCGATACTAATATTGGATTTACGTCTGATAGAACACGTATGGTGCAGCCATTGAGACGTTAGAGCAGGTTGAGAAGGTCGTCGAATCGCTATATGCAAAGGTACGTGTTGATCAATTCTCATGAGCTCTGCCGTTAATTATAACCACGTATCATTGGGTTGTCCAACTTCATGGTGTTCTTGTCGGCGGCGTAGACTGTCAAGATAGCGTAGACATGTTGCTCGCTTACAGATATATATTTGTACTCTCTTGCTGAGCCGCGACGCTTAAGATTTCGTTTGTAAACTGCAGCTATGGGCATGTCTTCGTGTGAGTTCAGATATCCATTCACTTTGCTGACATAATCTACGTGACACTAAGCAGGCAGATCGTGCTAATAACACCTTTGCCCTTTGACTTCGTCCTCTCCGCTACTTCTATAAGTACATGGCGTTGTTCAGGCTGGGATCCTAGCTACCTAATTGGAGCTCCCATTTCCCCTTTTAGGTGCATCCCTTCGGAAGTTTGCTGTACACCATATTGTATTTCAAATTCTTGTCCGGCATCTACACGCACAACCAAGTTTGCAGATTACTTTGTCCAAAGGTCAGTACCGTTACAGGACTGACATTGTGCTACTCTGTCTGAAGTCGACCCTCAGAACAATCCTTGCTATTTACAGAATAAATGCAGCATCCTATTTCAGATTTTATCCTGAATATCAGCGAGATCCCTTCTATAGTCTGAGAGCTATTGCAACGTGATGTTTGCGTTAGGACATTGATATTGGGGTGTCCTTTCTCGTTATATGATTGCTGAGCGCTTACTTCGATTATGAGGTTGGTATAGCACATACGAAGGCAAACTGTGTGAGCAGGACTTAAGGTATGTAGAATTAATGTCTGAAGGCGATAGAAGCTCACCAGTTCATCGAATTACCGCAGCGCAATTGTTGAACGTTGAACTTGCATCCACATTTCTTGTGGAACGAACGGCCACACTTTTGTTTTAAGGTTCATTTTCATGGGCACTAGCTGAGAACACACTAGCCTGCTTTTGGTCAACCCTTATGGAAGCTACGATCTATTCGGTGTGGCTCACCTTTTTGTTACACTCCACCCGACGGCTACCCTCACTCGTCGCCCACAAAACCCTGGCGTTATGTATTTCCGATCCAAGCGAGACCTTGGAAATTTTTTCATCGTCGGCTGACCCCAATTTTCAGAGTTGCTCAGGGCTATGTTATCGGTTACGCATTTCCTGCCACATCGCGTACCGCTGAGGGTTTCGGATATTGGAACCCCCGGGAGTATAAAGGTAGAGAGAGTCCTACTGCTCTGGAATCGTTAACAACTCGATCGTCTAGGTCTCTCTATCCCCCGTTCTCTCGACTTTGGTCAGTCTCTTGCCTTGATCACCTCATTGTCTGCTGCTTACCCTGTGTGCAGGCAGTCCGTCTCATAACAAAAACCAAGTGATCATGCCAGATACAATTTCATCCCCGAGTGTACCAACTGCTCCGCAGAACAATGGCCTCGCTCCATTACAAACTGGAGGCAGACCAAGGGCAAGTGATTTAAACCTTGATAGATGCGATATTTCGTTAACGATGTCTTCAGTCCGACTCGGAATCTAGCGTCACGAGTATCACCCTGCGTATCGTTGGCCCAGAAGAAAATGAAGAAGACAGCCCTGTAACCCCAATTGCACAATATACTATGCCGAGGCAGTGAGGTACTACACCCCACTATGTACCTCGAGGGTTCCCAGACATCGAGGATCTGGCCCGAAATAACGGCCCGATGGAGAATGAAGAAATTTGTATCACCGTGCCTATACTTGTATGCTATTGTGCCCATATGCCTAAGTATGTCATGTATGCGATGTGGATTTGGCGACCGTAAAGATATGTCGTGTTTAAACAAGAAACAATTCACGTTCTACGATGCTGGGCGCTTGATCGCCTTGTTCATGCCGAGCACAGCAGATCCGGCAGCGAGACGCTTGCAGCCACTCACCACTTTATCGACATCACACAATCCTGCTCATAGCCTTCTGAGCTACCAGCCTATGGTGTACCGGGTTTTGCGTTGACTCCATGGACGGCCATCCGGACATCAATGGCGAGAATGAACGCTCCGCTGCGTACGCCACTGTTCTAAAGGTTGCCACCCGTCTCCTGGGCTTCCCATCTCGAGTACTTGCGCGCATGCGCCGCTTGGACGAGATTCTGGGCGAGGAATCGATACATCCGCGTGAACATAGAGCAACAGGAGGGCAGTTTTCGCGAAGCCAGGCGGGGGAAGGAAGTCCTCCCTTTCCGGGGCCCCTCGGGTTCCTGACCTCTGGATATTTCTGCGGGCTTTTCGTTATGGTGCGTAGGTATTGCCGCTAGGTCCAGCTGCTGTTCAATTGTCTCGCTTAGGCATTACTTCTCAATCGTATTCACAACATCGTTGTGCCGAGTCGAAATCCTGTGGCCGTACGCCGACGTGCCGGCGCAGGCAGCATCCATGATCATCGACCTTTACATCCCAATTCTTTGGGGCTTTTCTTCCCCGCTAATCTATCCTCTACTTTCTCTCGCGTAGTTTTTCGTATACCATCGATCTACTTGCTCGGCAAGTCTCTCTTCATTTGGTTTGTGCTTCTTTTGCAGGTATCGCACGTATATCCGTCCTGGAAGTTGGGATGGCTGCAATCCATCAGTCACTGGGCCAAGCAAAAGAATATGGAAGACATTTGCTGGTTCACGTTTACGTCAACATGCGTCGCCCTCGCTGTCGGGGCACTCACCAACGGATTGGAGGGATTTCACCTCAATAGCAACTCGCCATTTAACTTGGTACTTTTGCTGCTTATATGGTCTTGAGTGTAATTGAGTGTTCTTGCCAGTTCTCATTTGCTTTTCAACTGCATATTTATGCCTCCCCGACAACGCATGCTGAGAAGTCACCAGGCTTCCCTTCTAGACCTAGCAAGCATGTAATCATAACCATCCTTATTCCACTTCTACAAGCAAGTCTTTCGCCGGTTTATAGCAAAATTTTGTCACTGATGATATTTGATAGCTAACATGGATGCATTGTATAGAGGTCAAAAAGCAGTGGTCGCGCTTGCGACTTCCCCCTACGACTGCTTGCGCACTGCTGAACCTCGCACACTTTCATTCCATCATCTGGACTTCCCCATCATCTTATCCCTTAACCAACTTCTTCCCCTGTGTTGTTGAATCCATGCTGTGCTTCATTGTTTCACTCTCCGTTGGTCTAAATGTTCTGACACAGCTCCTAGTGGAGGGGTCAATCACACGGCCGCTCTTCGGGCATGTTCAGACCCTTCTACCAAAGATGGATGAGGATTTCGGAATCGCACTCGTCCGCCTGGGTACTGCCAGCTTGGAGACGACAAGCGTCGCTGGATTCGGCAATGAGGTCAGCGATATTGCAAACGCAGCAGGCACTATTGCAGGACGGGCGCACGAGGAAGATAAAGGCTCTATCGAAATCGATCGATCGGGCGTGGTGTCTCTCACTCCGTCATACGACAGGCAGGGACGGCAGAGGACGCAACGTCGCGGATTCAAGAACGAGATAAGCAATGTCAAGGCGCAGGCTCAACCCTCGGACTTGTGGGCAGACACCATGGTCAATCTCGGCTGGCTGAGAGCACTGCGAGCTTTTGTTCTGACCTCCGGGAAGGCAGTCAGGCGCCTTTTCGGGGTAATTTGGGCAAACGTTCGTAATAGTCGCAATGAATCAATGAATCAGTCTGGAGATTCCCCTACCTCCACCCCGTCTCGGACTCGACTTCAGATCAGGTCTGACGCTGACGAGGACGAGGGCGCGGACGTGGCCGAATATCACCGGTTTCTTCGAGGGCAGTCCCTCACGGACGACGAAGATGATGGCTTCGAGCCACAGCAGGACGTTGATAGGGAGAGTATGTCGCCTAGTACGTCGTCCTTCTCATCGGATGAGGATGAAGACCGTGGCGAGACCGTTCGGTTGTATGCGGACCTTTCGCAGGCAGACAGTATCTCCACACCAGCGCCGATGCTACTGGCACATATGACGTCGACATCGCCGCTCACCCGTCGGCGGTATCAAGGACTGGTCTCGGATCCGCAACCACAGAACGAGAAGGCAGACGATTGGGAAGACTTGATCCGAGACAGGAGGGAAAGCAAAAGAGGACAAGGGGATACTGCTGACACCGGCCGACTGTGCGTGATTTGTACGGTTGAGCCGAGGGATATCATATGTTGGCCCTGTCGGTGCGTCACGCGCAGCGTTAATTTTCACCTGTCAGCTCTTTGACTTTGACGCTAGATGCCTTGCTTTGTGCAACGACTGTCGAGAGAACTTGGCATCACGTTCGTCTGCGTCGAAACATAGCTGTCCATGTTGTCGTCGAGGGTTGGTCGTTTGCGTTGCTCTCCGCCGCGAGTGCTGACGGTCGCATTTACAGCGTGGATGGTTATTCGAAAATATATATTCCTTGAACAATCGCAGTATTCCATGAATGTAGATTATACCGTGCATCTCAACCTTAATGTCAGCTTGTGTAAATGATGTTGCGATCCATTGTGCTTTGGATGCCCACTCATGACATGGAACGGAAGCCCATAGCGTCCTGACTGAATGGTGTGTGGCAAATTCTATGGCCCTGTAGACCTGAAAGAACAGCGAGGGAGCCCTCCGATGACTTGTGGCAATGCTACTATAATTCAATTGCAGTGAAGGAATCTGGACAATGACGTCACAGGGGATCCCTCCGGTTTCAGCGACACGTCTTCAAAGTGCCCGGAGCATGCCCTGACAGAGGTTCTTTAGCCGCTAACAGTTTGGATACACAACGGTTCTACTGTATTTGATGGAGCTAGCCATGTGTTCTCGGCCGGCTCATGCATAGTTAAATTCATAGAAACGAAGTTCGCACGTACTACTATGATATCTCTCGTCTTCAAACATATGAACGCATCCATGTGCACCGTCATGCCAAAACTGGATATCAACTACTAACGCGTGTACAGTTTGGCCGAGGGGATGAATGCGATAGCAATCGAATGGAAACCGCATAAGTTCTGGGATTGTGCAATGCCCTGATATTCAGGCTGAAACAGCACGAGGATGGAATCCGCCAGGAGGCATTCTAAATTATACAATCATGCATCTTGACTTGTATGTCACCTCTCTCTGTTCGGGTATAAGGGTATAAATAGGCAGCAGAGCGGATCGATGTCTTGGAGTATGATGTCGTTATTTTCTGCCGCACTGAAACCATTCTGTGACAGAACAAAACTTACCAGCGTCACAAATAAAACGGGTGAGAGGAAGCTGTCAGATTCTGTTGCCGCTATACTATAATACCTAGGAAGTGCCGGAGCCAGACGAGCCGTGGGTACGGTCAGAAGGTATCTGTCATGAAAACATGTATGTTTCTCTACCGCGGAACAGAACGGTGAGGATCTGAAACGAACATCGTGCGGAATAAACAGGTGTACATACAAGTATGACAAGGGGGCCCACCACGCGCATGATGTCGTGGATTGTGAACTGGGAGACACAAATGTGAGGCTAGACCGCCAAAGTTGAATGGAAGCACGGAAGCACGAAATCAGCGACTGCGACATACCGTCGAGATCAATTGAAATATTGTGTCAGAGGAAGCGAAGGAAACGACCAACGAATTATGGACGCAGCGAAGGAAAGACTAGGAGTATGTTCCCAGTAGTTCGCAAAGTTCACATCCCAGACAGGCAAGCGATGCAAGATGGCGCTGGCGGACAGAGAAAGATGCTCTGGTATCGCATGACCACACAGCCCATTGACGCCCCCGAGTAGAAGCAGGATGTGGGATGGTCTGGGCCGTCATGGCATGGGTGACAAGTAGATCAACTTTTATCTGCAGAGTCCACGAGTGTCATCAGTTGCGCGGTTAGACCTTCTCCATGGTTCGCCCGGCAAGTTGAATAGCCGAGCGTGAAGCATGAGACTCGGGCAGCAACGGGCAGATGGAGAATCGAGGGCATTGCGTAGTAGTCGACGGGATCGAACGGGACAATTCCTGGGGGCTACGAGATGATACCTAGCTCCATGTATGAGTACTCGAGTGCCGATTCCTGTGAGCGACTGATGGATGAGAGTAAAAGCAAATTAGGAAACATGAAATCAACAAGTACTTAAATTACCATTTGGTACAAAAAAGGCAAAGGGCAAGAGAGCGATATAGACTGCAATTGTCCAGACTACGAGAGGCTACCATAACAAAGACTAGTCAATACTCGCGAGGTCCATGGTCCCAACAAAACCAAATGCTCCGTTTCACTGGATCCAGCTCTCTAAGCTCTTTGAAGACAGAGTAAGCTTCAGGACCAGTTGAGGCTGCGAAGGGGCCAGCCTGTTTGGTAGTAGTAATGAGGAGCAGTTGGGAGGGCAACCCCTTGTAGTAGCCCTTGACAAAGCATCGTTCACATCAAAAGACGTTTGATGGCAGACGAGAAATCGCTGAAAGTACCCCACCAGACGAAGTGGTGACTGGGAGACGGGACTGCTCCCGGTAACTACCGAGTGAATTGCATAGTAAGTGGTTATGAGTGCGCCGGAGATGCGCTTTCGGTCAGATTGATTACATACCTGGCGGGATCATCAAGGTGCGGGTAGAGAGTGCACTCTCCTGTCATACTCATCCGCCAGATAGATAGGACCCCCTTTTCTCTCTCCTAACTCAGCGAATCGGCCACTTCGGGCACCGTGGGCTCGGTATCAAGACCTGGGAAAAACTCGTGTCGTATGCGACGCGCATACCTCACTGATCAGCTGTAGCCAGGCCCTATCCTGCTCAAGCTGGGCGCAGTAGCCCGAAACCTGCAACGTCGTTGCCCCGCACCAATGAGACCTGTGAAAATCATATCTAGACCCAATGAAATATTGACGAAAACCTCATGAGCGATTTTAGATCCCTGGATATGCATCACGGGAATGCCTCCAGTGAATTTCAAAATTGGTGATTCGTGAATTCATGACTGATTCACTACTTGTTCAAATGGGCACGGTCCGGAGCCCGTAGTATTCATGGAGGCGCGTTCAAAGCGCATCGAGATTCATGGAAGGTAAGTATGCGTGCATTCCTGTCGTCCGTACCTGAAAAAGGCTTTTGTGAATGAAACAAATACGTCGGGCTTTCAACTTGTTCAAAACCGTTCAAATTTGCCAGTAACACGACGACGCCTCGTCGTGTTTAATGGTAGTCAATTGTCAATAATTTCCCAGGGGAGTAACTCCCAGAATAGTACCAGTGCAAGGCCTGTTCCTCGCCCGTGTACTAGAAGGTAATAGCGAGCTTGGAGTGTCCCTTGATGAGAGGGCAAACAAACATTAACAGTACGGGAAGGCAGTAAAAGAGCGAAAAGGAAACGCGTTGGTGACAGGCCTCGGATTGAGAAGAGCGACATGAGCGAGCCCTGGAACAGGCGGCATCCGACGACATCGAACAGGACAATTTCTGAGGCTACGACGAGGCAACTTCGGATGCAGATGCGTACGGTGGCTGATGCGGCACGGGACATGTGCGTGCGTGGGAAGAAAGAAAAAATGGCGGCACAGTTTCCGGAGGGCGAGAGACAGCCACCGCCCCCAAACACCCTCAGGTTCAGATTGGCCAACGCAAGAGAATGGCGAATGCAGTGTCCGCAGGGTCCTCGTCCTCTGCCGCCAACGGCCCCATCCTCGCAGCCGGAGACTGGACAAAGGACCTCATCCAGCTCGCAAAGACGGCGGAGCTCAAGTCCGCTTCTCCCTTTTCTCTCTCTCCCCCGGCACCCTCTAACCTCGCCTGCGCAGGAAACATGCACTCACGCTGCAGCTCCACACCGCCCAGATCCTGTCTGCACACGCATCGCTTGATCAGAAAAGTAAAGCCATAGAAGATCTGAAGGAGCAAAAGAACAAGTTCAGTCCGCACTCGTCCCCTTGTCAGCTCGCTCCACTCACCGCCCACCCGCGCAGACTCGAAAGCGAGCGCACCCGCCTGCTCAACTGCCTCCTCGAGGTGCGCCTTGTCCACGCCAAGTCCTCTCTGACCTGTCCAGATATGCTGATTGTTTGGGACGTCGCTCCTGGCAGCTAAATCAAGATCGCGACAAGGTGCGCTAGCGATTGACACATGGCTTCGAGGTCTCACTGTCCTGCCCAGGCCGACCTCCTCGAGGCCACCTTATCGAAAGAGTGCGTATCCCGACGTCGCAATGCTTCATTCTGCCTTTGGCACGTCTTTAATTGGGCAGCATCACTGATGCGGCGCGGGAAGGCTGAATGCGCTCGGGTCCAGCGAACGAGATGACATTTAGCCTTCTTTTGGCCGTTCAGCAAGTGCTAAATGGAAGTCGTGCTAGTGGCCGCTCGTCTACGGCTATTCGTGTATGCACCCTCTTTACGTCTCGCGTGGGGCTGCTTCGACGCTGCTCGGTGCTTCGTGCCATCATTCGTGAGCCTCGCACAGCGCGTACCTCTACAATGCAGTCTCTCCTTCACTATTATCACTCGTCAAGCCCAATGACCACGTCGGTGGCTGATCATCACCACGCTGCAGATGCACAGACTTGCGGCAGAAAATCCAAACGATCACAGATGGAGAGTATAGTGTGGCTAAACAAGACGTCGACCGACTGCGGCAGGAGCTCGGACAGCCGCCCCTGCCGAGCCTGCAAGAGACACTGGAGGAAAAGTCGACACAGTACGTCCGCTGTCCCTCAGCCACCGATGCGAGCCCTGCGCATTGATCGGGGTGAGATCTGGTGCGGATGCCGAATTTGACTGCGGTCTAGATACCTGAAGGAGCTGCGACTGCAGACGGAGAAGGCGGCAAACAAGCGGGGGGCGCCGGACGAGCTGGGCCCAGATGGGCAGCCAGTGGGCAAGCGGCCGCGCGGCAGGCCCAAGGGCAGCAAGACGACAAAGCACAAGGGCAAGGAGTCTGCGCAGACTGCGGCGTCGACGTCTGCGAATGCTTCTGCGCCGGTGCCGTCGTAGGGCGTGGAGACGTCCACGGACGTCCGAGGGGTGTTTTCTGCGGTTCGTATTACGGTGGCGTTGACAAGAGCATACGCCGGTGTCTGATACGGTTTTATGCAGGTTCCAGGGGACGGGACCAGAGTAGATATATGTCGCGTAGGAAGAGCGTGGAAGCTGTGTATAGGGGGGAAGCCGCGACGATCACGCCACATATAGTGGTAGCGAGGTATCAATATTGTATGTTTTATGCGACTGCTGTGTCAAGTGTAATTGCATTCTGTAATATGTAACAACAGGACCTCGGTTCGGGGATGATGCATGATGACTGGGATTGTGATCAGTGGACGGAAGCGTGTGGGACGCACGCAACGGTGGATGGGGTCAAGGAGGATCTGTCAGCTGGGATGAGAGATGCCGAGTCGGACGGAGGACGCTGGGCCTTCGACCCGGAGGTATTAGAGGCGTTCTATGGTATTCCGTCTAGATGAGCGCGCGGACGCGACTGGGCCGTAGCACGCGTCTGGATGACTAGGAGCGAAGAGGAATACGTTGCTCGCCGTGCTGAGTGATGTCCTGACGCTGACGAATGTGTTCGCCCGCCCCGACGCGGACGACGCATGCGCGCGGCTGAGTCACCCAGACAATGCGGGCGCACCCGCTGACTCAGCCCGTCCTTGGCCCGCCCGTCACACAGCCGTGACGGCCACTGCCCAGGATGGCAACGCACCTGCCACTCCTGGCGATCGACGCGCGTGGGCGCCTGTATTTCCCGCGTCGTAACTTTGATTCCCTGGGGATGCCGCCCCGCCTCGGGTTGCGATTCGGCGCGGCAACCAAGGGCGGGCAGGCGAGACGTCGCTCGACCGGCGATTTTGCGCAACGACTCGTACGCGAGGCGGACGACGACCGACACGGGCGATGCGGCTGGGGCGAGGAGGGTGGCGACAATGATAGGCGGGTGACAGGCTTTATGGTGTGTACGTGAGCCGGGACAAGCCCCTCCGGGTGAGCGTACGCGGCCAAGACGATCGAGTTGCCTCGGGCATCCGCGCTCACCGAGCCTAATGCCGACATCCAGCTGACTTGAAGCTTTTCCTGGGCAGGTTCAACGCGGTGGATTGCGCGTGCAGTGGCGTGTGTTGGGATAATGATAATATACAGACGTTGCGATCAGGAGCACTGTCTCGAAGCTGCGGCGCGCAGTGTACAGAGTGGCGGCGCCGCAGTGACCCTGGGGATCTCTACGCAGCCAAATGGGGGACGCAGGTCGAACGGACAGGGTTGCACTGGTCTTCCGCACACAGCGGATCACGGTACATGTGCCTGTTGGAGGAATATGAGTGCGATGGATAAGATGGCTGTAACACGGTTCACGCTTCTGGAGAGCATAGCCGGCTAACCAGCTGCATCCGACGTTGTGCAACAAGAGAATTCGAACGCGATGGCGGCGATGAGGGGACACGATGGCCAATACCGGGAGGTGCGGGAGGCGTCGGGGGAACTGGCGACCGGCCGGCGGGGGGGGAGGCGCG